TGCACCACTGCCGACATCTTCATGTGGCAGAAATGAACAAATTAAAACATTAGATGGTGACAAATTATTTAAACACGTACATACTGACATATATTTACATACTTTACATTATACTGCAATACTCACTAGCAGTGGTCAGAACCATCAATCCACAAAGAAGTGCAGCCACAACCAGGAGCTTCATGGTGTCTCTGTGAAAAAACAGAAGACAATAACTACTGTCAATTCTTTAAATAAAGGAGATAAGATAATTTAAGAGTTTGTACCAGACCTTTTGTAGAAGGTCTTTTTTCTTTTCAGTGTGAGCCAGTAGCTTCAGTCTCCCACCATAGAGGTGATGAAAAGCTCTGAGACTAGTGTTTATATACTCTTACATTTGTATACTTGCAAAATCAGGAAATAACTTATTTCTTAACCAAAAAACAACAACAACCAAACAAACAAAAACCCAATTGCTTCATCCCTAATTTGATTTCATGCTGACTTGGTTTCAGATATTTACTGATAGTCAACAGAGAGGTTTCAAAGAGTACAAGGATCAAGGATATTAAAATACATTGTAATTAGTGTCATTATCAGTATTTAAAAAGATACAATGCATAACGTCTTCCTCCTGTTCTAAAAGTTAAGAATGTATTGCCACCCCCTGATAACGTAATTGTGACTGAAAATATTGTTGCAGTTAGTTAAATATAAACTGGAAGAAATATCATGTTGTCCTTTGAGATAAAATTGAAGATTTAAACAGTTTTAAAGCCATTACACTAACAGAGAACTCTACAGCCCGGTAACATGGACTATAAATACTTACAACTTTAAATAAAGACAGTAGCTGCAGGTTTCATAGATGTGTAATTTATTTTTTTTCATTTAATAATAGAGTCCACATTATTATAGTAGTAAGGTCTATTATACTATAGTATAATAGTTCGCATGCACCAACCAGCATGTAGCCTGTTACAGTTAGTCCTGCTTTTTCTCATTAGTTTAGCTTTTTTTCCTTACTTGTACTTTTATCTGTTTATTATCTTTCCCTCAATCATGTGGATTGAGAGAGTTTCTGTTCTGCTGGTGGCCACAGAAGTGCTACTTTTGTCGAGGAACGGGACAACACCTACATACTGCAAGGACTGTTTACTCCAGAGATCAGCTGATCGCCCTGATGCCAGTAGGTTCTCTGGCCAGACCTGCAGACGTACCAGCTGAAATTTGGAGAAAAACACATCGGGGATGCAGAGGTCAAGGACAGAAGAGAAGAAAGAAGGAGACGGTGAGACAGCGGAGGCTCGAAGCAAGGAGGAGGTATAAACCGTGTCTGCCGTCTATCGTAACGGGAAATGTGCAATCGTTAATAAATAAAATGATGAGCTCTCAGCGCTGGTATGGAGTCAGAGGGAATGCCGGGAGTATAGTCTTATGTCTTTCACTAAATCATGGACATTCCCAACGATAACACATCCTTGGAAGGCTTCCATACTGTTCGGGCAGACAGGGACAGCATCAGTAGTGGTAAGAAGAAAGGAGGTGGGCTTGCTGTTTTTGTTACACATAACAATAAAAGAAAGGATTTGTTGCCCGGACATTGAACTGTGTGCTGTTGGACTCGGGCCGTATTATTTGCCCAGGGAATTTACTCATGTCATCTTGCTGGCTGTGTATGTTCCTCCCTCTGCTAACCCCACAGCTGCATGTAACACTACCCACTCAGCACCCAAGTGCCTTCATTCTGATCTCGGGTGACTTCAACCATGTTACATGGACAATACATTACCAGCATTTAAACAATATGTAGACTTTTTCAGAAACATCAGGAAAGCCTGAAGTTTATCGCAGGCATCACACAGGACTCAAGATCTTCACCACCAACTCCCTTACTGGAAACTCACCAAAGCTCCACTGTAGACCTGCCCCAGAAGATGAATAACCCAAGATTTCATGAACAGCATGATAGAGACCTATCCTCTTTGTAATTTCAGAAGTACTCAGATAATCCTCAGAGGATTCAGTCCTGCAGAAAGATATATATGCAATATATATTATCCTCTCTGGTTATTCTGGTATGAATGACTCTGAATTACGTTACGGTAAATAACACACTATTGGCAAAAAAA